CTTTGTATTTTTAAGAAAAAATATTTATTTATTTATCAATATTTATGTTGTCCCTTTCAAAGTAATCCCCCTCAGATACAATACACTTATGCCAACGGTTTTTCCAATCCTCAAAGCACTTCTCATAAGCACTTTTCGGTATAGACTTGAGCTTTTCCAGCGATGCAGTCTTGATCTCTTGAATCGTTACAAATCTCCGTCCTTTCTTAGGTCTCTTTAGTTTTGGGAACAAGAAAAAGTCACATGGGGTCAAATCCGGTGAATATGGTGGCTGAGGCATAATTGTGGTGTTGTTTTTGGCCAAACAATCTCTCACAAGCAAAGATGAGTGAGCAGGGGCATTATCGTGATGCTAAAGCCATGGATTGTTTTTCCACAATTCTGGGCGTTTTCTTCGTATTGCTTCTCGCAAACGGCGCATAACTTCAAGATAATAATGTTTATTGACCGTACGTCCATATGGTAAGAAATCCTGATGCACCACGCCATGGTAATCGAAGAAAACAGTGAGCAAAACTTTGACATTTGATCGAACTTGGCGTGCTGTTTTCGGTCTTGGCTCATCTGGGCTCTTCCATTGGGACGATTCGACTATGGTTTCGATATCATAACCATATACCCATGATTCGTCACCAGTTATGACCCTTTTGAGTAAATCTGGGTCATCGTTGACGTCATTCAACAGTTCTTGCGCGATGCTCATGCGACGGTTCTTTTGGTCAAAATTTAGAAATTTCGGAACAAACTTCGCTAACACACGTTTCATGCCCAAAACGTTAGAAAAAATTTCATGGCACGAGCCAAGCGATATATCAACATCCTCAGCAACTTCTCTGATAGTGATTCGACGATTTTCCAGAATAATTTTCTTCATTGCTTGAACGTTTTCATCAGTTGTTGACGTGCTTGGGCGTCCAGAGCGAGGCTCGTCATTGGCATCTTCCCGGCCATCTTAGAAGAGTTTGTACCACTTGTAAACATTTTTTTTACTCAGAACAGTTTCACCGTATGCTACCGTCAACATTTCAAGTGTTTCGGAGCACTTTATTTTATATTTTACACAAAATTTGATGCAAATCCTTTGATCCATATTTTTCGATAGTAAGAAATCGCCGAACACGCAAAACACTTATAACCTTTACGCCTCTCACAACCAAACAAAAAATGCTATACACTTGAAACTTGGTACAGATGTTCGGGAAGAGTGTACCAACATAACAAAACAAAAAAATCGATAATCGAAAGTACGTTGCCCGTGAAATTTGAAAAGTCACCTTACTTTTTGAACACACCTCGTATAGGAGTGAGAGGAATATCAACGATCGATTATGTAGTAGTCTGAAAAAAAAAATCCGAGAAACACAAAAGAAATCAGAATCCGATAATCTGTAAACCTGTCTGTTAACGACTTTTCCGAGAACTCAAAAAAAATTAACTCTGTATCTGTAACTTCTGGCATGCGCATGCAAACTCTGGAAACCGAATCCGATTTACGAGGGTGGTCCGATAAGTACTTAGCCTCACCGTCCGATGGCGCCACTCTCGCAAAAGAAATATTCTATCATGTAGTACAACCTTCTCGATGATTACTGTCAAAATTTCAGCCGGATAGGAGTTGTAGTTTATTAATCAGTATGACGAAGAAATCCATAACTCCTTCTAATGACTCAAAAATTGTTATTAAAAGTGCTTTGAACGCAGCACGTAAAAATATGAAAAGTGTTGGTCGAAAGAAAAATATAAATTTACCACGAATACTTCCAATCCCAAAAGTAGGAGGTTTTCTAGCTGCACTCATTCCGGTTTTTGCAGGTCTCAGCGCTCTTGGATCTTTAGCAGGCGGTGCAGCGGGGATAGCTCAGGCTGTTAAACGAGCGAGTTCTGCCAAAAAACAATTAGAAGAACAGAAGAGACACAACCAACATGTTGAAGCTTTAGCTATTGGTAAAGATCTATATTTGAGACCATATAAAGAAGGTTTTGGTATAGCCTTCAATACAACAAGTAAAGTCAAGAAGACTAAGAAAAAAATTTGAAGTAAAACTACCTCATCGTCCTCGAATAAAGAAATATGCTCGCGAATAGCAAATTGCGAACTTTCGTGGTGTTTTTATGAGGAACTCTCTGCCAACACGTCCACGATTCAACGAGTGTGCTGTTGTAAATCTTGATGATAGTTCAGGACCTGGTACGCATTGGGTAGCATATCGAAAAAGTGGCAAAAATGTTTATTACTTTGATAGTTTTGGTGATTTAAAACCACCTCTAGATCTTATGAAATATTTCAAAGTTGATCAAATCAAATACAATTATAAAAAATATCAAAATTATAATACTTATACTTGTGGTCATTTACGAGTATGTTTGAAATTTGTATGTGATTTGCTAGAGTATCATGACAATTACCATTTGTATAAATACTGAGAATTGTGAATAAATAATTCAGTTTTGAACGATCACTCAACATGGTTGAATCATTACCTGAATTTTTCTGGTAGATCATCTATACTAGAAACATACTATTTTCCACCGATAGAACTGGATAGAGATAAAACTTATGTTCTTGGTTTGGTAGAATTACTTACATTCAATTCGATACCAAATGTTGATGTTGGACACAATAAGTTCAAAGTTGGTGACATTGAAATTCAACTACCAACAGGCAGTTATGAAATTGGTGACAGAGATAAATATTTGAAAGGTTACTTGAAGTCAACAGGGATCAAACTTGAAATAAAGCCCAAACAACAATACTTTATGCAGTGAAATAACTTGTAATACACCAATCGATTTTCAATCAAATAACTCTATTGGACGTATGTTAGGTATCACCAAACGGTTGTTGCCCGTAGATACGAGGTCTGTCCGAAAAGTATCGGGCCTATCTTTATATTTTCGTGCTAGCGTTATTCTTTATCATCTGGTGGGTGGCATCCTTCAAAGTAATCCCCACTTGACTGAATAACACGGTTCCATCGATGTTTCCACTTATCAAAACAGTCCTGGAACTCACTTTTAGGGATAGCCTTAAGTACACTCATCGCATTATTTTCAACCGTTTTGTCATCGAATCGGTGTCCTTTCAGTGGTTTTTTTAGTTTTGGAAACAGCCACAAGGGGCTTTAGTTTTGGAAACGGCCACAAAGTCACAAGGGGCTATGTCGGGACTATATGGAGGTTGTCGAAGCAATGCGATATTGTATTTGCTCAAACACTGCTGCACAAGATTGTATGAAAGCGCTGGCGCATTATCGTGATGGAGAAGCCAGTCACCACTTTCCCAAAAGTGCGGCTGTTTTCTTCTTACTGCATCACGCAAACGTTTCAAAATTTGAACGTATTATTCATTATAGATTGTCTGACCTGTTGATGCATATTCGTGATGTACAACACCTTCACAATCAAAAAAAACAATCAACATTGACTTAACATTGCTCCGACTTTGACGTGCTTTTTTTGGTCTTGGCGATTCAGAATGCTTCCACTGTGAAGATTGTTGTTTTATTTCAGGATCATAACCATAAACCCATGATTCATCACCTGTAATAACTTTTCTAAGCACATTATCATCATTATTGACCATTTTCAGAGTGTCCACAGGGATTTCTAAGCGAATGTTCTTCTGCTCTGCTGTGAGCAATTTTGGGATGAATTTCGCACACACGCGTTTCATTCCTAAATTTTCGGTTAAAATTTCTGAAATGATAGTTTTTGGTATCCCAAGGTCTTCTTCTAGTTCTCGCACAGTCATACGACGATCTTGTTCGATTGTAAGTCGCACCCGCTCAATATTATCTGCGGTTTTTGTCGTCGAAGGTCGGCCGGAACGAGAATCACTATCGACAGAAGTGCGACCATCCTTGAACAGTTTATACCACTATTTTATTCGTGTTTTGCTCATACACTCGCTTCCGAAAGCCTTTTGCATCATTTCAATAGTTTCCGAACTCGTTTTTCCGAGTTGAAAGCAAAATTTGATGCAAATTCGTTGATCTTGTTTTTCAGTCATTTTTGACAATATCAAAATCAGTGTCAGTAAGTAACCAATAGATTCGTGAGGCTTTACTGCTGACGTTCCTGTCCGGTAGAGGTCGCTCGAACACTATGGCGCGAAGATATAAACGTAGGCCCGATACTTTCCGGACAGACCTCGTATAAATAATGTCTCTGACATGCCTGTTGCCATTCTCAAAGTGAACGCTCTACGCGTCGAATGTAACATAACATCTGGAGCATATGTCAATTAAAATAAGGGACATATCATTCACGAATTCTTTCCAACTGTACCACCAGGATATAAAATCATTGAAGTTCCTAAACAGATCATATATTTGCCTGTAACTGTCAAAGTTATCGATCATTTACAGCTACATCTAATTGATCAAGATGGAAATTCATACTTTCGTGGTGAAACAATCACGATCCGTTTACACATAAAGAGTTTTATGATGGGAATAGCTTATAATCATAAAGTAGGCAACGGCTATATAACAACTCCATCATGCGCTCAGAAAGTCAGTCATCAATGGATAGCCAAAAGTCTAACACGACGCAACAATCAGTTCCTGAAAAATCTCGGTCTGAACGTTGTCGGAAGCGCCGCAATAAAAAGAAGAAGAAACGTGAAAAATTTGAAAAATAAACTTGTATATTTGTGTGTTTTTATCATCTCAAAGATGGAAGAAATACTTAGTGTGCAAGCACCTGTCATTTTTGATGAATCCATAGCTCACTATGAATTTCATGCACATCAACCTTATAATTCACAAACATTCAATAATAGCGATGAAATTCGCATATTGATACAACATCAAGATTTATGTCTTTTACCATCAAAAAGTTCTCTACATATCGTTGGAAAAATAAGAAGACAAGATGGTACTTTTGTTACTCAAACAAAGTTCGTCAATGATGCTATATGTCACCTATTCGAAGATATCCGATATGAAATTAATGCCATTAAGATAGACAAATGTAAAAATGTTGGACTAACAAGTACGATGAAAGGTTTGGTTTCATTGAATCAAAATCGAAGTCGATTTCTAGAGAATCCTGGCTGGCTTGATATTGAAGCAACTAAGAAGATAACTGACAACAATGGTAACTTTGATGTGTCAATACCTCTTTCAATGATTTTAGGATTTACTGAAGACTATCACAAAATTGTTGTGAATGTAAAGAATGAAATTATTCTTACTCGATCAAGAGATAATTTAAACGCAGTCATGAAAGATACTGTAAAAATTGATAATGTTGATACATACGAGGGTGGTCCGATAAGTACTTAGCCTCACGGCCCGATGGCACCACTCTCGCAAAAGAAATATTCTATCACGTAGTACAACCTTCTCGATGGTTACTGTCAAAATTTCAGCCGGATAGGAGTTGTAGTTTATTTTTGAGAGCGTGTGAAAGCAAGTGTGTCCGTTGATTTTTGAAAAATGGACAAAGAGCAGTATCGGTCGGTGATTCGATTCTTGTTTTTGTAAGGGAAATCGCGCAGCGAAATCAAAAAGCGCTTGGATACTGTGTACGGTGTCTCTTCTCCTTCGATGGCGACCGTCAAAAATTGGTTTAACGAGTTTCAACATGGTCGCACGTCGATTTTAGAAGAGCCACGTCCAGGTGCTCCGAAAACGGCTACCACGGAGGATAACGTGACAAAAATTTACGATCTCGTATTGGCAGATCGACGATTGAAGGTGCGCAAAATAGCTAAGATCGTAGGCATCTCAAAAGACCGCGTGGGTCATGTCCTGCATGGAATTTCGGGCACGAGAAAGCTGTCGGCGCGATGGGTGCCGCGTTTGCTCACTCCGGACAACAAGCGCAAACGTGAGACAAATTCAGAGCAATGTCTGACGCTGTTTAAGCGCAATCCGAAGGAGTTTCTGCGTCGTTTCGTGACAGTCGACAAAACATGGATCCACTGGTATACACCAGAAACCAAGGAACAGTCGAAACAGTGGACTTTACCCGGCGAAAGTGCTCCGAAGAAGGCGAAGACTGCCCTATCGGCCGGACAGGTGATGGCCACCGTTTTCTGGGATTCACAAGGTGTGATCTACATTGACTACCTGGAGAGGGGTAAAACGGTCACGCGGCTGTACCTGCTGAATTATTGGGCCGATTCGACGTCGAATTGCAGAAAAAAAGGCCCCATTTGGCGAAGAAAAAAGTGCTCTTCCATGACAACGCACCGGCTCACACCTCCGCCGTCGCCATGGCCAAATTGGTCGAATTAGGCTACGAACTGCTGCCCCATCCACCGTATTCTCCAGATTTAGACCCGTGCGACTTCTTTTTGTTTCCACACATGAAAAAGTCACTCGCCGGGCAGAAATTTGATTCAAATGAGGAGGTAATCGCTGCCACGGAAGCCTACCTTTCAGACCTCGAGGAAACGTATTTTTTAGACTGGTTAAAGAAGTTGGAGCATCGCTGGGCCAAGTGTATCGAACTAAAAGAAGATTATGTTAAAAAATAAAACGCCTCTTTTCCAAAATTTTCGTTTTTCTTTTGTAGGCTAAGTACTTATCGGACCACCCTCGTATGAGCCTCTTAAAATAGGATTGAATGGTTAATGCCGTATGTAATTATGTCCGATAGGCGTAAAATACAGTTGTTCAATTTCATTCAGAAAAATGCACCTATTTCTATGAGTTTTCGTTCGTGGGATCTTTATGAGTATTCAGCATTACCACAAACATCAAAACATCTTTGGACTGTAAAAACATCCAATCAATTGGAAAAACCAAGATATATTGTATTAGGTTTTCAAACAAAACGCAAGTCTGATAAAACTAAAAATCCTAGCGGATTTGATCATTGGAATGTAACCAATGTTAAACTTTTTCTGAATTCTCAGCAATATCCATATAGAAATTTGAATCTTGATATAAGTAACAATCAATACTCTGTCTTATATAATATATATGCTCAATTCCAATTAAAATATTACAATAGAGACTGTATGTTCAATCCACTTTTAGATCGAAAACAATTTATCACACATGCACCAATAATAATGATAGATTGTTCAAAGCAAAATGAATCTTTGAAACAAGCTGCTGTCGATGTACGTCTTGAGTTTCAAACCAAAAATGATGTGCCCTCGGAAACAGCTACATATTGTTTGATTTTACACGATCGTATAGTTAAGTATAATCCTATAAGTGGTCATGTAACCAAACTTGTATAAATCGTATAATAGCTATATCGTATATACTTTTTCTGAATACGTACACTGCCCGTCAATCACTTTTGCCATGCTTACCTCAAAAGTAGGCAAATTTGAAAGTATTGTATCTCGGTCGGAAATCATCGTATCACAAAAAACCGCAGGGCATTTTAAAGGTAATTGCAAAAGCTTGCATTTAAGACGTGCAGAGACTTAAAAATGAAAATATGTGTTTTTTACAGTAAAAAAACGATTACAAAAATTTCAATTTTTTTAACCTCGACTTAAATCAATGCCAATTTAGAACCAGACGGTGGAGGGCAAATCGACCGAAGGGGTTCGGAGGGTAATGTTTTTCCCTTCAAGTTAGCCCCCCCCCCCCCCGCGGGATTCTATCCGATGTTTTTTAACCGAGTTACGGCGTTTTTTGTAAAAAAATAACCTTTTTTTTCAATCCTCAATTACTTCGACTTGCGTACGTTTTGGAAAAAAATGCCAAAAAGAAAAAAGTTTCATTTTGTGCCCAGAATACGAAAATAAAGTTAAAATAAAGAAATAGAGAAAAAATTTTTTTTCGGTTTTTTAGCGCATTAAAAAAATAAAGGAATATAACTTTTTTTTTTACGCTTAGTTTTAGTTTTTTGTGATTTACTACGTCCCTAGACATTTTAAAACGAAGCGTAAAAAAAAAGTTGAATTCCTTTATTTTTTTAATGCTCTAAAAAACCGAAAAAAAATTTTTTCTCTATTTCTTTCTTTTGACTTTATTTTCGTATTCTTGGGCACAAAATGAAACTTTTTTCTCCTTGGCATTTTTTTCCAAAACGTACGCAAGTCGAAATTATTGAGGATTGAAAAAAAAGGTTATTTTTTTACAAAAAACGCCGTAACTCGGTTAAAAAACATCGGATAGAATCCCACGGGTGGGGGCTAATTTGAAGGGAAAAACATTACCCTCCGAACCCCTTCGGTCGATTTGCCCTCCACCTCCTGGTTCTAAATTGGCATTGATTTAAGTCGAGGTTAAAAAAATTGAAATATTTGTAATCGTTTTTTTACTGTAAAAAACACATATTTTCATTTTTAAGTCTTTGCACGTCTTAAATGCAAGCTTTTGCAATTACCTTTAAAATGCCCTGCTGTTTTTTGTGATACGATGATTTCCGACCGAGATACAAAACTTTCAAGTTTGCCTAATTTTGAGGTAAGCATGGCAAAAGTGATTGACGGGCAGTGTAACTCTAATTGAAGAACTTGAAAAAAAAGCACTTGGATTGAGATATCTTGGCGGATATTTACTTGAATTTGTAAAACCATAAAGTTTTTATCAATGTAACAGAACATTGCATAAATAAAACCCAAGTCGAATAAATACTTCAGTCTTTTTCATTCATTTCAACGATGAGCATTGTTGTGTTTGAACGCAAACTTGGTAGATCTGACGAATCAAACTTGAAAAATTTACATGAGAATCTGTTAGTCGAACTAAAAAATATTAAAGATACTATATTAAAGTTAAAAGCTGAATTAAAAGAAATGAATTCAATGATCGATATTAATCGAATGGAACTTGATATGAAATTTCTAGGGGTATATTCAGACATTGACAAGTTGAAGCAAAGTCAGTTACTCCCACCATTATGTGCTTGCAGCTTGTGTAAAGAAGCTTGGCTCATGAACCACACCTTATTCACTTTCTGTATCTGTACCACGGCTCGTTTGCCTTCTGTAGCAACACCAGCTCAATCATGACACAATTTATTGATTTCATTCAAGCTAAGGTATTAGCCAGCTTGAATGCACATATTATTTCTGTTTGATGGTACAGATCCTACGATTCAGGAAGAGATGGATTCCTTAAAGTATTGTTATGACGAAGGTGTCGAATTGATAACAGATGCTTATTATTATGAATATTCGGAGAAAGATTGCAGAAGAATCCAATACTCCATAGCCTTGTTGAAAGGTCTTTGGTATATGAAAGATTACCAGAAGACTATTGGTCATGGAAATGGTTATATTCATGATTTTAAACTAGATGATATTCCAAGTGCTATTCAAAGTAAATTAGCTACAGAAATATTGACGAATATTCATTATTCAATAAACAAGGTTTTTTTCAAATATATGGCTGAATGTGTTGAAGCCACGGTATGTAATTTGCTCAAAAAGTCATTTCTAAAGGAAGTAGACATTGTTTTTACAGCTGTGTATCAAAAACAAATTAGCAATCAATTTCCAAAAAAAATAAAAGTCAAGCTGTTCAAAGTGGAAACTATTCCTCTTTATTCAACTCAAACCTATCAGAAATAGTTTGAAGAAAAAGTACAAGAACCTCTGATGACTATGATGGAAAAATTTGAACGTAACTATCCTTCTTACTCTTTCGAAATTATGACAAATGCAGTTGTCAGCTATAAGTAGCGCAGTTTGAGCATCATCAGATCATTCAGCAACAAACATTCAAATAATATGGACCGCTATCCAAATGTGGAGTACTCTCGTCTTCTGCAAATCAACAGTTTGACAACGGAAAGAAAAAAACAAATAATCATATGTACATGTATAATCATTGTAAGCATATAATCATCATGCTCAACCTCAATGATTGTTTAGTTGTCTATAATTTATGATAATAATAGATTTTTGTTCATGTAAATTATATCTCTGTTTATTTAATAAACTCAACTCCGAAAGTTGATGATAAAAAAACTTGTATACTTACACAGACCTACACTTTCTACTTAATCACAATCAATCAACATAAAGCAACGTTCACTCCAACGTTCAGAAAAGCGTGGCAGTCAACGGAACTTCCTGACGCTACTAATCATAATTTTGGAGCTTGCAACAGATAAAATGAAAGCTCACATCAAGCACTTTGATGAAAAAAGTTTTATTTCGATATCTTTATTAAAGCGTTTATTACAATGCTACGAATTTTATCCATTTAACACAAGCTGTCTTCTTAATTTTCAATTAGATCAACTTGTAGAGAATGACTTATCGAATAAGCGGGTATTTTTTACTTTTAGAAATATTGATATATGATTTGACCAGAAATTATTAACGCTCAAAGTTAACGAAAAATGTTAAACATTCGACCTTGAAAAATTTATAGCTTTTGAAATATCTATTTTATGAAAAAGTTGCTAAAGATATTTTCGTCTTAAAATAAGCCAGTAGTAGGGGCTAAGGGGATCCTGAGCTACTTACCATGCGATTTTTTGATGCCTACTCTACCGACGATCGGTAATGTTATAAATCCTCATATTGGCGATCTGTGAGCTGCTTTATCGACAGATGTTTATCGAACTGCTTGACTGGAATCGTTTGCAACTGACTGTGTACAGACGTGCAGACCCCATTCCCCCAGCCGGCAGTTACCGATTCATTGCAGATAAACTCTTTTTTGATGGTTTGTTTAAACAAATGCATTTTAAACAAATTTCCTCGCAATTTTAGCAACATATAATTGTGGATTCGAATTCAGCGATTCAAAATACATGAGAATAGTGGGAGTCAATCCAGGCATTGAACTAAAATATCCATTTGGGCTTCGAGAAAATAAAACACAAACATCTCAAAATATGCAAACGCAACTACCTGCTCTGAGTCATTCATCCTTCGCCTGAGCCGTGCTTTCTCTCTCCACCTCTTACTACCAGGGTGGTCCGATAAGTACTTAGCCTACAAAAGTAAAACGAAAATTTTGGAAAAGTGGTGTTTTATTTTTTAACATAGTCTCCTTTTAGTTCGATACACTTGGCCCAGCGATGCTCCAACTTCTTTAACCCGTCTGAAAAATACGTTTCCTCGAGGTCTGAAAAGTAGGCTTCCGTGGCAGCGATTACCTACTCATTCGACTCAAATTTCTACCCGGCGAGTGACTTTTTCAAGTTTGGAAACAAAAAGAAGTCGCACGGGTCTAAATCTGGAGAATACGGTGGATGGGGCAGCAGTTCGTAGCCTAATTCGACCAATTTGGCCATGGCGACGGCGGAGGTGTGAGCCGGTGCGTTGCCATGGAAGAGTACTTTTTTCTTCGCCAAATGGGGCCTTTTTTTCTGCAATTCGACGTCGAATCGGCCCAATAATTCAGCAGGTACAGCCGTGTGACCGTTTTACCCCTCTCCAGGTAGTCAATGTAGATCCCACCTTGTGAATCCCAGAAAACGGTGGCCATCACCTGTCCGGCCGATGGGGCAGTCTTCGCCTTCTTCGGAGCACTTTCGCCGGGTAAAGTCCACTGTTTCGACTGTTCCTTGGTTTCTGGTGTATACCAGTGGATCCATGTTTTGTCGACTGTCACGAAACGACGCAGAAACTCCTTCGGATTGCGCTTAAGGTAGCTCACCAGTGTGGTGACGTATCTAGTGAGAGGCCCCTTCAGCAAACATACATATTTGTGTAACTTTTTGGGTTTATTTTTATTTTAAAACTATTTTTTGAATATTCGATCACATTAATTAGTAAAGCATTGAAAATAAAGTAAAAAGCAAAAATTTTTTATTTCCTCTAAAAAAGATTCTTATTTTGTATACGTCAGTGAGTACGTAATTTGGCAACGTCGCAATATATGTTACAGAGCTACAGAGCACGTGTTCGGTGTTTTTATCGAGATATTGTTCTGACGGCTTAGATGTATGTTGTGTTTGTTTACTCTTATTTTTTATAAAAATGTATAATGTGCGTGCAACAATTGGCAAAAAAAAGGGAAAATTTATTAAAAAAACTGAAAAAGAGAAGATATCGAAATTGATTGAAAGTACACGAGGTAAACAAGGAAGGCCTCTAAACAAAACACAAGTTATTGAGGTTAGTAAATAGTAATTCATGTGCAGTTGTTATTAATTATTATGTACTATAGTATACAGTAGTATATAATAATATATTATTATATTGAATGAAAATTGTTTTATTCTATATTTAGTATGTGTTATAGATTAGTGTAAAATAACTATTGATTATGAAAATATTTGTTTACAGATGACTGATAACAGGGACAACCAATGTCAGGTAGTTAGATATGTTTCTTACCATGGACGTAGGATAGTGGAAATGGATAAGTTAGCAAAGGATTTATGGTGTAAATCATGTAAAGTTCCCATAAGTCTAGCACATCTGGTGGAGGAAAAGAAAAAAGGTCTAGCGAGCCAGCTATTCATTCAGTGCTTTTCCTGTAAAGCCATACAGTGTGTAGAAACCAGTTCTAAAAGTTGTAAATATTATTATGACTCCAACTTGAAATTAGCTATGGGTAATGAGAAAATTTTTACTATTTAAATTAATTATATTTCTATACAAATAAATGTAATAACAATTATACTGTACAGGTATGTTAGATAGCGGCGAAGGAGAAAGTGGAGTGAATACAATGTTGTCTGCGCTGAACGTACCACCAGTCAACAAGAATTCTCTCAAACGTTATGAACGAGTAGTGGGCCCAGCTATAGATAAAGTTGCTAATGAGTCATGCATCAAAGCTATCCAAGAAGAGAAAAGATTAACACTCCAACATGAAGAAAAGTAAGTTACAAAAAAAAAACAGTGATATATACTACTTATTTAATATTTAAAAAAAAAAATGCTGTATAAAAATTTACATGTATAAGCTTCGAAAAATAATTGTGTAATTTATTTATACTGCTGGAATGTTATTATCAGTAAGCTACAATCTTTAGATTCAATCATGAATGTTTTACGAGTACTACAGTTAAGATTTACAGAAGAATTATTTACACATATTTACATTTATATATATTTATACATCCATTTACGACAATGTATAATTTTATTATTATCAATATTTCATTGTATTAATATTATACATTTACATAAAATTTAATTAATTTATAATTATATTTACAATTAGATTTAGATATATTTACATTTATTTACAATTAGATATAGATATATTTATACACTGATATACATATATTTTTTCTATTTACAATGAAATTAAGTTAAGCTTATTTCTGTAAACTTTTATACAAATATTTTGTTTTTATTATTAAATTAATATTATGATTCTCAACTCATGTAATACTGATGTGAATAAATAAACGATTTTTCACAAGTAACAGTGAAATAATTTTTTTCATAAAATTATTGTAATTTTTTTTCAACAGCAATAATAATGAAAGTACAGTTAACAACAACAATGTCACAGATTTGACTAGATCATTCGATGCAGCTTGGACCAAAAAAGGACGCCAACACAATAGTTTGAGTGGTATTTATATATAAGAAAGATGTTTTCTATTTATTTTTTTTTTCTAATAAAATTTTTTAAAAATGCAATTGAGTATGTAGGTCATTCGTCATTGCACGGCTATTTTTCCAAAAAAGCTATGGGATTTGCTTATCGAGAATTGTACTGTAGAAATTGCAAACAAAAAAAAAATACAAACCACATATGTAAAAAAAATCATACTGGATCATCAAAATCTATGGAAGCAGATATGGCAGTAGAATTGATTTTAAAAAATGATAATTTGGTGAATAATAAATGTAGAATTAAAACAGTGATTGGAGACGATGATTCATCTGCTGTTGCAGCTTTAAGAAGACTGTCGCCTTATGCTATTACTAAATGGTCGGATTACAATCATGTTAAAAAAACTTTTAACAGTAAGTTGTATGATATAAAATTAAACCCAACTCTTACAGAGTATTTTTCAAAGTCTTTCGCTCTTGCTATTAAGCAAAATCAAGGTAACGCAGATAAAGTGAAAAAATCATTAGAAAATATCATACCTCATGGGTTTGGTGAGCATGACAATTGTGGATCATTTTGTAATAAAAAAGATGAATCATCTACTTACACTTATTTTAAAAATGGTGAACCTCTATCAAATAATGCTTTAAGAGAAAAATTAGAGAAGATCATTCAACCTTTCATAAACAGCTCTTCCCAAATTGCTCCATGTGCTTCAAGTCAAGTAAACGAATCGTTTAATAATATTGTTTGTTCGAAGCATCCAAAATCTAGATTTTATGGAGGATCAGAAAGTCACTGCTATCGCGTTGCATTAGCAGTATGTCAAAAAAATATTGGCTACGAATTTCCAGTTGAAGTTAATAAAATTTTGAATTTATCTCCTGGTAAACATATATCAAACTATCGGAAAAAGAAACAATTGCATGAATCTGAAATTCGATCGAGAAATAGTACTGTTCCAGCAAAAAAAAGACGACTTGAACTGAAGAGAGAGAGATCAGCCAAGAATAGTGTAATAGAGAACAAAGAAGGCTTGTCGTATGAGTCTGGTTCAGGATATCTGAATACCTCAGATTTAATCGATGAAACATCAATAATGAGAGGTATAAATATTTTTATTACTTTTACAATTATAAATTGATTCTATTCATTTTCATATTTATTTTCTTATTTATAGATGACGTTGACTTTAAAGATTGTGCAATAATTATTTTCGATTTAGAAACAACTGGCCGTCATGCAGCAGCTGAAATTGTTCAGGTAACAAAAATTTGGTTTTATACTTAATTGAATGAATTTCATTTTGCGTTTAATAATAAAATCATGTTCGCGTATTTATAGATTGGAGCAATAAGCGGCGATGCTGAATTTGAAGTGTATATGATGCCTAAAGGAAATATGACTTTCGAAGCTTCAGAAGTAAATGGTATCAAAATATGTGATGATAAAATGTATTATTTTGATCAAGAAGTAATAACTTCTTCTCAACGAGATGGTTTTTTAAGCTTCCTTTATTTTTTGAAACGTCAAGGAAAACCATGCATTTTACTTGCACACAATGGATTCAGGTAACTTTATCATAAACATATTTATGTAGAAAAATTTTACACACAATATTTACTGTAATATTTATATATTTTTAGGTTTGACGCACAGAAGCTCATTAACTGTGCAAAAACTTCAGGTCTTTTGACAGAAATGATGATGTTTGTTAAAGGTTTCTGTGATAGCTTACCTATTTTTAAATTATTGCTACCGGCGAGAGTCAAATCTAAATTAAGTTTCAAGCAAGAAAAATTAGCCAAAGAATATTTATATAAAAAGGATATTAAAATTTCGCACAATGCTCTTAATGATGTGATAAATGTACAACAATTAGTAGAAAAATTATTAGGAAAATTACGTAATGGCGATAAATCTATTATTTATGAAACCTGTCGAACGGTTGACTCATTTATAAACAAAAAAGAAAATGAAAAAAAAATACAAATTTTGAAAAAAACTCTGTCAGGATTGCCTATTTCTAAATGTATCATGAGCAAGATAGCTAAATCAGGCATAGATAGAAATTTATTAGAAAAGACATATGAAACTAACGGTTATGAAGGATTAAGTGTATTATTAGGTGAAAACGTTACCAAAAGTAAAAAAATTATTACAAGTATTGCTGCAGCTTTAAAGAAATAATAACGATAAATTGAAGAAATTTTAATTTACTTTTGTGATATTTTGTATAAGAAAAAAGATGGTTATGTATTGTAATATTAAAGTAAAAGTAATAAAAATTTGTTATTTAATTCAATTCTTTTCTTTTACAATTTCTTACCTCACCAATTTGTATCATAAAACTGAATATACTCCATTATTTACTATATTAAAATGCAAATGATTCAAATTTACCACGGTTTATACAGCTGCGACGTTGCCACATCTAAGACGCATGCGCAAACATGTCAATAAATTGTTGTCTCAATAATATGTTGATACTTTAGAACTAATTATTTTATTTATTTGTCCGATTCCATGGAAGAGCACTTTTTTCTTCGCCAAATGGGGCCTTTTTTTCTGCAATTCGACGTCGAATCGGCCCAATAATTCAGCAGGTACAGCCGCGTGACCGTTTTACCCCTCTCCAGGTAGTCAATGTAGATCACACCTTGTGAATCCCAGAAAACGGTGGCCATCACCTGTCCGGCCGATAGGGCAGTCTTCGCCTTCTTCGGAGCACTTTCGCCGGGTAAAGTCCACTGTTTCGACTGTTCCTTGGTTTCTGGTGTATACCAGTGGATCCATGTTTTGTCGACTGTCACGAAACGACGCAGAAACTCCTTCGGATTGCGCTTAAACAGCGTCAGACATTGCTCTGAATTTGTCTCACGTTTGCGCTTGTTGTCCGGAGTGAGCAAACGCGGCACCCATCGCGCCGACAGCTTTCTCGTGCCCGAAATTCCATGCAGGACATGACCCACGCGGTCTTTTGAGATGCCTACGATCTTAGCTATTTTGCGCACCTTCAATCGTCGATCTGCCAATACGAGATCGTAAATTTTTGTCACGTTATCCTCCGTGGTAGCCGTTTTCGGAGCACCTGGACGTGGCTCTTCTAAAATCGACGTGCGACCATGTTGAAACTCGTTAAACCAATTTTTGACGGTCGCCATCGAAGGAGAAGAGACACCGTACACAGTATCCAAGCGCTTTTTGATTTCGCTGCGCGATTTCCCTTACAAAAACAAGAATCGAATCACCGACCGATACTGCTCTTTGTCCATTTTTCAAAAATCAACGGACACACTTGCTTTCACACGCTCTCAAAAATAAACTACAACTCCTATCCGGCTGAAATTTTGACAGTAACCATCGAGAAGGTTGTACTACGTGATAGAATATTTCTTTTGCGAGAGTGGTGCCATCGGGCCGTGAGGCTAAGTACTTATCGGACCACCCTCGTATGTATCAACATTATCAATTTTTACAGTATCTTTCATGACTGCGTTTAAATTATCTCTTGATCGAGTAAGAATAATTTCATTCTTTACATTCACAACAATTTTGTGATAGTCTTCAGTAAATCCTAAAATCATTGAAAGAGGTATTGACACATCAAAGTTACCATTGTTGTCAGTTATCTTCTTAGTTGCTTCAATATCAAGCCAGCCAGGATTCTCTAGAAATCGACTTCGATTTTGATTCAATGAAACCAAACCTTTCATCGTACTTGTTAGTCCAACATTTTTACATTTGTCTATCTTAATGGCATTAATTTCATATCGGATATCTTCGAATAGGTGACATATAGCATCATTGACGAACTTTGTTTGAGTAACAAAAGTACCATCTTGTCTTCTTATTTTTCCAACGATATGTAGAGAACTTTTTGATGGTAAAAGACATAAATCTTGATGTTGTATCAATATGCGAATTTCATCGCTATTATTGAATGTTTGTGAATTATAAGGTTGATGTGCATGAAATTCATAGTGAGCTATGGATTCATCAAAAATGACAGGTGCTTGCACACTAAGTATTTCTTCCATCTTTGAGATGATAAAAACACACAAATATACAAGTTTATTTTTCAAATTTTTCACGTTTCTTCTTCTTTTTATTGCGGCGCTTCCGACAACGTTCAGACCGAGATTTTTCAGGAACTGATTGTTGCGTCGTGTTAGACTTTTGGCTATCCATTGATGACTGACTTTCTGAGCGCATGATGGAGTTGTTATATAGCCGTTGCCTACTTTATGATTATAAGCTATTCCCATCATAAAACTCTTTATGTGTAAACGGATCGTGATTGTTTCACCACGAAAGTATGAATTTCCATCTTGATCAATTAGATGTAGCTGTAAATGATCGATAACTTTGACAGTTACAGGCAAATATATGATCTGTTTAGGAACTTCAATGATTTTATATCCTGGTGGTACAGTTGGAAAGAATTCGTGAATGATATGTCCCTTATTTTAATTGACATATGCTCCAGATGTTATGTTACATTCGACGCGTAGAGCGTTCACTTTGAGAATGGCAACAGGCATGTCAGAGACATTATTTATACGAGGTCTGTCCGGAAAGTATCGGGCCTACGTTTATATCTTCGCGCCATAGTGTTCGAGCGACCTCTACCGGACAGGAACGTCAGCAGTAAAGCCTCACGAATCTATTGGTTACTTACTGACACTGATTTTGATATTGTCAAAAATGACTGAAAAACAAGATCAACGAATTTGCATCAAATTTTGCTTTCAACTCGGAAAAACGAGTTCGGAAACTATTGAAATGATGCAAAAGGCTTTCGGAAGCGAGTGTATGAGCAAAACACGAATAAAATAGTGGTATAAACTGTTCAAGGATGGTCGCACTTCTGTCGATAGTGATTCTCGTTCCGGCCGACCTTCGACGACAAAAACCGCAGATAATATTGAGCGGGTGCGACTTACAATCGAACAAGATCGTCGTATGACTGTGCGAGAACTAGAAGAAGACCTTGGGATACCAAAAACTATCATTTCAGAAATTTTAACCGAAAATTTAGGAATGAAACGCGTGTGTGCGAAATTCATCCCAAAATTGCTCACAGCAGAGCAGAAGAACATTCGCTTAGAAATCCCTGTGGACACTCTGAAAATGGTCAATAATGATGATAATGTGCTTAGAAAAGTTATTACAGGTGATGAATCATGGGTTTATGGTTATGATCCTGAAATAAAACAACAATCTTCACAGTGGAAGCATTCTGAATCGCCAAGACCAAAAAAAGCACGTCAAAGTCGGAGCAATGTTAAGTCAATGTTGATTGTTTTTCTTGATTGTGAAGGTGTTGTACATCACGAATATGCATCAACAGGTCAGACAATCTATAATGAATAATACGTTCAAATTTTGAAACGTTTGCGTGATGCAGTAAGAAGAAAACAGCCGCACTTTTGGGAAAGTGGTGACTGGCTTCTCCATCACGATAATGCGCCAGCGCTTTCATACAATCTTGTGCAGCAGTGTTTGAGCAAATACAATATCGCATTGCTTCGACAACCTCCATATAGTCCCGACATAGCCCCTTGTGACTTTGTGGCCGTTTCCAAAACTAAAGCCCCTTGTGGCTGTTTCCAAAACTAAAAAAACCACTGAAAGGACACCGATTCGATGACAAAACGGTTGAAAATAATGCGATGAGTGTACTTAAGGCTATCCCTAAAAGTGAGTTCCAGGACTGTTTTGATAAGTGGAAACATCGATGGAACCGTGTTATTCAGTCAAGTGGGGATTACTTTGAAGGATGCCACCCACCAGATGATAAAGAATAACGCTAGCACGAAAATATAAAGATAGGCCCGATACTTTTCGGACAGACCTCGTATCTACGGGCAACAACCGTTTGGTGATACCTAACATACGTCCAATAGAGTTATTTGATTGAAAATCGATTGGTGTATTACAAGTTATTTCACTGCATAAAGTATTGTTGTTTGGGCTTTATTTCAAGTTTGATCCCTGTTGACTTCAAGTAACCTTTCAAATATTTATCTCTGTCACCAATTTCATAACTGCCTGTTGGTAGTTGAATTTCAATGTCACCAACTTTGAACTTATTGTGTCCAACATCAACATTTGGTATCGAATTGAATGTAAGTAATTCTACCAAACCAAGAACATAAGTTTTATCTCTATCCAGTTCTATCGGTGGAAAATAGTATGTTTCTAGTATAGATGATCTACCAGAAAAATTCAGGTAATGATTCAACCATGTTGAGTGATCGTTCAAAACTGAATTATTTATTCACAATTCTCAGTATTTATACAAATGGTAATTGTCATGATACTCTAGCAAATCACATACAAATTTCAAACATACTCGTAAATGACCACAAGTATAAGTATTATAATTTTGATATTTTTTATAATTGTATTTGATTTGATCAACTTTGAAATATTTCATAAGATCTAGAGGTGGTTTTAAATCACCAAAACTATCAAAGTAATAAACATTTTTGCCACTTTTTCGATATGCTACCCAATGCGTACCAGGTCCTGAACTATCATCAAGATTTACAACAGCACACTCGTTGAATCGTGGACGTGTTGGCAGAGAGTTCCTCATAAAAACACCACGAAAGTTCGCAATTTGCTATTCGCGAGCATATTTCTTTATTCGAGGACGATGAGGTAGTTTTACTTCAAATTTTTTTCTTAGTCTTCTTGACTTTACTTGTTGTATTGAAGGCTATACCAAAACCTTCTTTATATGGTCTCAAATATAGATCTTTACCAATAGCTAAAGCTTCAACATGTTGGTTGTGTCTCTTCTGTTCTTCTAATTGTTTTTTGGCAGAACTCGCTCGTTTAACAGCCTGAGCTATCCCCGCTGCACCGCCTGCTAAAGATCCAAGAGCGCTGAGACCTGCAAAAACCGGAATGAGTGCAGCTAGAAAACCTCCTACTTTTGGGATTGGAAGTATTCGTGGTAAATTTATATTTTTCTTTCGACCAACACTTTTCATATTTTTACGTGCTGCGTTCAAAGCACTTTTAATAACAATTTTTGAGTCATTAGAAGGAGTTATGGATTTCTTCGTCATACTGATTAATCTTTTCATACTTAAAGTCTTTCTCTTCTTGGAACGTTTTTTCGAAATCTTCCTTTTCTTGAGATACTTCTTGCCGAGCCCCATTCCAAAAGTTGATTTTGCTTTCATGATATTTGTAACAGCGTATGCTGCAGCTTTTTCACCTTAAGTAGCGTCAGAACTACGTACACGTTGCCAAGCTTTATTAGCTAATACTTTGTATGCAGCGTTGCGTGCTTGAATATCTTTATTTTTAGAGTAGGCAATGTCGTGATCTTTACATGCAGTGTCTAAAGGATTAATGCCAGGGTCTCTGCGAACCAATCGTTTATATAGCTTTGTTCCAGGTCGACAATACTGATAACCAGGTATATGAACTTCAAAAGGTAAGTTATTTATCAAGTTGTTCACTAGCCCTCTACCCGATTTCCTCTTCTTTTTTCTCTCATGGACGAGCATTATTTGAGAGTTTGATAATGAATGCACAAAACTTATATATATAAACTCTTTTATAGTAAAATTTATCAGTTTTAATTCAGAGTTTGATGTAAAATGGATATAAAGGAGCAGTCTCTGAAGCTTCCCGTGATAAATTTTGACTCTTTGAAGTTTTCCCGAGTTTTCCGAGTGCTGAAGCGAGCCAGCTGAATTATCCAGACGTCAACCGAAAGTTGTACTTTCGTCGCTACTGTTACGAGTGTGTGCGAGTGTGTGTGGGTGCAATGTTTCGCTATCGAGGGCGAAACCGAGAGTGCGAGTCACATTATTCAAAAAGACTGATATCTCGGAGGCGGACATACGAACTTGATTCTCCCCCCTTCTAATAGTGCGACCGATAATAAGGTAAGCTGGCCAGCTTAGTATCGCGACTTTTTATATGACTGTGCGGAACTAATTACTAATCCCTCGTACTCTGTAAGAATCGGTAGCGTGCATGTGCTAACTCTGCGAACAAAGAACTGCGAACGCTCCGGCACTGCATGTTATTATCGCACGCGCGCTACGTAAATATAAACACGCGGGCCAAGTATTTTGTAGAGCATAGAGAAATAAATTAACTCGCATGTAATTTAAACGATGATTTTACTGTTATCATTTCTTGCTAGTAGTAAGTTGGTTGACTGACTCCCGTCCCCTCCTGCTCTCCGATTAACGAATTTGAATATTTTGATATCACCGCGCGCATTTCGGTACGATTGCGCGTCGAACGAATTATCGGAATAAAAACGGAGCATTCACCCCGTTACAATATTCTACGTCACTGAACCAACTAAAATATAAATTTCTTGAGCAACTTCTTGAACCCATCAAAGGTGTTGAATACTTATCTTTCAGCAAGCATGATCGTGTTGTGTCGCCAGAGGAAGCACGACCAAACTCTATCATAATTTTTGATGATATTGCATGTGAGAAACAAGATAATCTGAAAGGATTTTACTGTATGGGAAGACATAGAAACGTTGATTGTTTTTAATTGTGTCAGTCATATGCTCAAGTACATAAACACTTAGTGAGAGACAACGTGAATTTTTTAATAGTTTTTCGACAAGATGATATGAATTTAAGACACATCTATAACGATCATGTAAATACTGATATGTCATATCAAAGATTCAAAGATATTTGTTCTTCATGTTGGAAAGAAGATTATTGCTTTCTTGTGATAGACAAAGATCGAAAAATAGATGCTGATAGATTTAGAAGAGGTTTTGATAAGTTTATTATAAATGCAAATAACTCAACATAAAACTCGTAGTGATCAACTGGATTGCAAGTAGACAACATGATTGATTTAAGTCAACAGATTGGTGATCTTCGTCAGGTGGGAGAAGCTCGTGAAGCAATACAACAGAAATATAATTTATTGAAGCCAGATAGATTAGAAACTGAAAAATTTGTTAAAGAAACTTTCATGCCTATGATTGAATCACTTGAAAAGTTGGTTGATGGAACAAAACTTACTCAGTAGAAAAAATCGAAAAATAAAAACTGTTGCAACTTAAAAAGAAGAAAAAGAAGATGACGATGAAAAATTAGTTATGATGTAGAACAATTGTTTGAAAAGAAAAAAAAATAACCTCTAAAAAAGTTATCAGATGAAGATGGTGGATTGGATGAAGCATCGAATGCTTATGAACTTCAGGAAAATGATGATATTGTTGAATTTCACACATCTGAAAGTAATTCACTTAACAAGTATTTATCAATGTTGCAAAGGAATCAAGTAACATCATTGGATACGATCTATGGAGTACGTAAATGGAAAGATGGTTCTTTTATGTTAGGTGATAGACCATTGAATTTTGGAAGGTGATACAATTGTCATAAGCAGAGATACTTATGAAAAAAGTTCTGGATTGATTGAACTATTGTTCAAGAAAAAACCTGATACTTCCATTATAACTGAAGATGAATTAGACACCTATAGTGGTATTATAAAGAAAACGTATGCGCATAAAAAGTATTATAAACCTGAAGAGGATATACGTTATCAAACAAGTGATAAATTCAGAGATATTATTTCTAAGTTGATTGAAGACACACCAGTTAACTCATCATCTGGCCGAGGATTTTCTTTGAAGTCACCGTACAAAATTGTACGACTTGATATTCATACTGATTATGTATATTGGAATGATCCCAATGAGCTTGTAGAACGTCTTAGATTATTAATTGCTGAAACATCAGCTGGTAATCAAAATCATGTGAATGAAATTCAGTCTATAATCGAAGAATTGAGAGAGGCTGAAATAATATATTAGTAGTGTTAGTTAGCTTAAGTTTTAAGCTCATTATCGTGATGAGCATTGATCTTTTTGGACATCATTTGAAATCATTGTCCACAGATATCACTCGCGGTCCACTTGGCTTAGGTCAGTTTCATATAGAAAATAAAAGACTTTGGGTAGTTGCTGATGCTACAGACTTGGACGCTGTCAATGTGAAATTTTTATGAAAAGTTGTCAGTGACGAGTCGGAAAAAATTTTTCATCATTATAAATGACATTGAACAAAAACTGATAAGTATCAACAAGAATATTTCAACACTGAATTCGAGATTAAGTGCTATTGAACAAGAACTTTTGAGTTTGAAGAAAAATGGAGAACAAACGTAAAGCAGTCGTCGAGGAGCTTTATAAGCCAGCTCATCGTAATTATCTACGTAAATCATCATCAAATCGATCTTGTTGAAATGATACCATATGAACGAGAGAATAAAAGTTATAAGTACATCTTGTGTGCTATTGACAGCTTTTCTAAGTATACTTGGTGTGTTGCAGTCAAACAAAAAACTGGAAAAGATGTTCCAAAGGCTATGGAATCTATATTTGTGAAAGGACGAGTGCCAAAGAAGATATGTCTCGACAGAGGTCGTGAATTTTATAATAAAGATTTCAAAAGTTTAATGACCAAACATAACATCCATATATACTCTACATACAGTAAATTAAAAGCGTCGATTTGTGAACGATTTAATAAAACTCTAAAAAATAAGATGTGGAAAAAGTTCTCGCTAAATGGTAATTATAAGTGGTTGGATATACTACCTTATCTAGTTTCACAATACAATAATTCTAAACATCGAAAAATTGGAATGAAGCCCAGTGAAGTGACTGCAGCCAAAGTACCAGATATATTGAATCGATTGTCTTTGAAAAAACATCGACCTCTAACAAAACATGCAAAATTCAAAGTTGGTGATAAAGTACGAGTCAGCAAAAGTAAGGAGATTTTTGAGAAAGGTTATACGCCCAATTGGTCAACAGAAATTTTCACAATTGATAGAGTTATGAAAACCGTTCCATTCACCTATCGTTTGAAAGATTATCAAGACAAACCTATTGCTGGCGGATTTTATGAAGAAGAATTACTTAGGACAAAATATCCAGATATTTATTTGATAGAAAAAGTTGTAAGAAAATGTGGTGATCATTATTATGTTAAATGGTTGGGATTTGATGAATCTCATAATAGCTATGTTCATAAAGATGATATGTGAATAGTAAATGAATAAAATATTATAAAATATATATTTGATGTTTCTTTATTTCAAATTCCTTACATTTCTGTAATGGTATTGGTGTAATGATTTCACTCAAACGATGAATTCTCATTTTAAAATGTTCTCTATCGCAAGCCATCCGCATCCATTCTCCTTGTCGAGCAGTTCGATGTGCATCTGCCCACGTAATCATCTGATGTATTTGAATTTTTTCTTGAAAACGTACAGACTTGTATGGTTTTTCTCTAAAATTAAATAACACTGATTGAGTCTAATTATATATCTGTTCTATGTTTTAAAAATATAAATATACAACTTATTCAATTTTGTAATGTCCATGTGCTAATGTTTCAGTACTCTAAGGAATTAGATGTCTCTTGTCATCATAAGGACTCAATGCAATCTTTCTCTGTCGAATAGTTTCAACATGGTGCAATTTAGATCTGATCATACATTGCTCTCTTTTATGAATACATAAATTTTGCAAACAGTCCAAATAATGATCAAAGTCAATAGTTTTCTTGACAACAGAAGCCTTCACACCATTGACTTTTTTTGAAGCATCAACACCATTTACACGAGTACAGTACATTTTACTCCTCAAGCCAATAAATTCTGTTAGTACGAGGGTCGTTTGAAATGTCCGTGCAAAGTCAGAGAGATGGCGCTACTAGTGCGTATCAAAGTTATTTTTAGTTAGTGGCATATCTTGGAAGAGCACACACCAAGTTTCAGCCAGATCGGCCAATTACTTTGCGTTTTACATTCGTTTCAATCAAAGAAATCGAGTAGTTGCAAAAAAATGGACGAAAAAGAATTTCGTGTATTGATTAAACATTACTTTTTCAAAGGCAAAACGCCTTAGGAGATTAAACAGAAGCTTGATAAACATTATGGTGATTGTGTACCTTCGATTAGAATGGTTTATAAGTGGTTTCAAAATTTTCGGAGTGGCCATATGAACACAAAAGACGCTGAACATTCTGGACGCCCTGTTGAGATTACCACTTCAGAAATCATTGATAAAATCCATGATATGGTGATGGCTGACGGAATAGTGAAGGTGCGTGAGATTGCTAGTACTGTAGGCATCTCGAGCAAACGGCTACATAATATTTTGCACTAACATTTGGACATGAAAAAGCTATCCGCTAGATGGGTGCCGCGATTGCTCACGATTGACCAAAAAAGAGATCGTGTGAAGTGTTGCAAGAATGGTTTGCAACTGTTCCAGCAAAATCCGCAAGACTTTAAGCGTCGTTTCATCACTGTAGATGAAACATGGATACATCACTACACTCCTGAGACCAAAGAACAGTCTAAACAGTGCGTTACCAAGGGGCAATCTGCTCCGAAAAAGGCGAAGACAATTCCTTCGGCCGGGAAGGTTACGGCGACTGTCTTTTGGGATTCGCAAGGAATAATCTTCATCGACTATCTGGAAAAGGGTAAAACCATTACAGGCGAATATTATTCATCGTTATTGGATCGTTTGAAAACCAAGTTGCTAGAGAAACGTCCACGATTGGCCCACAAAAAAGTCCTCTTCCACCACGACAATGCTCCAGCTCACGCCTCAGCAGTTATGGCCGCAAAACTGTTGGAGATAGGGTTCCAACTCGTTTCACATCCCCCTATTCTCCAGACTTGGCTCTGTCGGACTACTATTTGTTCCCTAATATGAAAAAATGGCTGGCGGGGAAAAGATTTTATTTTTTGATGGTTTCTTTAAACAAATGCATTTTAAACAAATTTCCTCGCAATTTTAGCAACATCTAATTGTGGATTCGAATTTAGCGATCCAAAATATATGAGAATAGTGGGCGTCAATCCAGGCGTTGAACTAAAATATCCATTTGGGCTTCGAGAAAAGAAAACACAAACATCTCAAAATATGCAAATGCAACTACCTGCTGTGAGTCATTCATCCTTCGCCTGAACCGTGCCTTCTGTCTCCACCTCTTACTAGGCTCTCTCCTACTCCTCATTCGTTGAACTCGGCTGATCATCTTCCGCCCCTCGTTTTGCTAGATATGAAAAAGATGTAGAAATACTACGTACATAGAAATTTCGTTTTCTGATGGAATGCTCGGTTCTCGTCGTTGTTTGTCCGAGAGGGCTGTTTGGACTCCTGTGGGATATTCAGACGTCCCTTACCCCAGCCGACAAAGTGTAATCGACAGTAAAAAAAAAATCTCATTCGAAATATCTCTAATTCAACTCTCCAAAAATACTCATTATTTTAATTAAACCCCTTCAGTTGTCCCAAAAAAAATAAAAACTATGATAATTTTTTCGTTTTTTGCAATTGCGATATTTTTAGTAATACTTAATATTTTTGCAAAGAAACAAGGCAAAAAAACTGTACCCTTGCTCGTTTTAATTACACCCCTCTTACTTTTTCAAAATTATTAATGTATATGTCCAAAACAACAATCTATATTTTTTGTATGTTCTTTTCAAATAACCCAATAATCTATTTAGATAGAACATACAATAAAATTAGATTGTTGTTTTTAACATAAATATTAATAATTTTGAAAAAGTAAGTATTTTTTATTTTCACTGTCCATTACACTTTGCCGGCTGGGGCAAGGGGGGAGGCGATAAACAGGAGTTTACCGAAACTTCAGTAACCTCAGTGTACAAATTATTGCATTATAATATTAATATTTATATTAAGAAAACGATATATTGCACAAACAATCTATTTTGAATTTTGTAATAAGTAATTAATAAACAATCCTATGCTATATAAAATTTGATAATATTTTATAATTTTAATATTTTAAAGTTAAGTTCCACATCTATATTTTACTCGATTTGACGATTCTACAAACAATACTTTAATGCTATATTTAATAATTATAATAGTAGTACTGTAGTATACGAGAATCACTATATTAGAATTTAAAAAATTAATCTAATTATATTGCACATGTTTGTATTTTTTTATAATTTTGACTTTAAATTTTAAATTAGAATTAAAACTAAAAATAGTTTGGGCACGTGTGAATAAAAAATGGCTGAAAAAGATGATGAGAAAACCATAGCAGAGGATTTAGTTGTTACAAAATATAAAATGGCTGGAGAAATAGTTAATCGTAAGAATATAGCTAGGATTTACAAATTATATCTCGAAAACTAGTCTTTACAATTTATTCAACTTTATCACTACGTTTTAAATAGTTTCTATCCCGTGTCTCTCTACTTGTATTTGAAACACCTTTGAAAAAATTTTAAAACATATTTGAATGTCAAGCTGATATTTCTTTTTTAATTTCATTTGAATAAACATTTAATATTTTACCTTCTTTTTAATATAAAGTGGTTTCTTCTTTATTCATTTTGTTTTATTTTGAATATAAAAGTCAATTTTTATCAAGTTTACTAATCTCCAAATATTTGTTTAACAATTTTTATCAGAAAAAGGAAAATTATTGATATATATGTAGGAGTTAAGAAACTATAATTTACTTGGTTAATTGCATATCTATAAAATAACAAATTCAATCATATAATCGAGATTTTATCTAATAGTAACTAGCATTCATAAGAATGGACATTTTTAATAAATATCAATACTATAATTATGGTTCTTTTTGAATATATAACGGCAGTTTTTATAATACTTTACTATAAGTAAGAAAAGTTTTTGGAGGAACTTAATAATAAATGTAATTTATATTTTTTTAAATTATCTATGTTGCTATTTTTTAGGATTGATTTTATATTTTTGGTGCAATTAAAATATTAATGCTATTACAATATGATTGGAATTTTGGTAAAATTGCAGTACCTATTTTAAGATTATATAATCAATATTATAAATATTCATTCATACTTTTAAATCCATATTAATGATGTATTGAAATAAAATTATAAAAATTTATAGTTGTTGAGCCTTTAGGTAGCAGGATTAATAGAATTTTACTTCAAATTGCAATAATTATTTATTACTCAAGTGAAATAACTTTTTTCTTATTTACTTTACCATAAATGTCATAATTGAACTAAATATAATAGAACATATCGCCTATTGATAATCCTAATATTAAATAACTGCTTATAAAATATCAATTTTTAGGTACAGGATTATTTACTTTAATTATGTGTTTGTAAACAAATGAGTTTGTTCTGTCTTCTATCGTTAAGTACATTTTGATGAGCTGCTCAAATGAATAATTGAAAACAATTGATTGAATTATGTTTTAAAATGTTGTTTTTTAAAATATAATATATATAGAGCTTGTTTTGTTTACAATATAAAAAAGCAATGAATAATATTGGCTGTATTATGAATTTATAAAAAATAAGTCAGTTATAAATATTTTTTCCCAAAAAATATCAATTTGTTTCTTGTCAAGATTATAATCCATATTATCTGTGAAATAAATTAATTTTTTTTCCACTTTTAAGTTATTCTGCTTAACTCCTTCAGTCACAGGAGTTATTATATTGTATAATTTACTTTTTTTAAATTTATTTGTTTACTATTGTGGATGGGTCTGGAAATTTTTACATTAGCTACTTAAAAATTTGAAATTAAAAATAATTAAAATATTTTATAAATTAGAAATTCATAATCATTATTATTATATATATTGAAAAAAATCTTTAGGAATTATAATTCATTTATGTTAGCATGCGTGAAACTTAATGTTACGCAAAAAAAGATATGATCCAATAATTGTTGACAAATGAATATTACAATAGATATTTTTTTGCTTAAAATGCTCAAATACTCATTCAATAGCCAATCACAAGTTTAATCACGACTTCTTCAATATAGCCACTGGTAAAAGCTAATATGGTTGCGGTTTGAGTTCTAACTCTTCTTCAAGATAGACTTCTGATGTTTGAGTGGGTCCAAGTTCAAAAATGAAAAGTACAGTGATTGAGGTAGCAAGAAGTCACTTATCTGGTAATTTAGATGCAGAGAGCACGTGCTCTGCTTAGCACCGTAAGTCGAGGATGTTTACCCGACATTCTACTAGAAGCTACGCTAATGTTTCCGTTAATCGAAAGGTGTCAGCACCTGGTGCGAGACCCACCTGTCATATCTGCTCCCCCTTCTGAACCACCAGCTAGAGGCTAGTAGAACGTGACGCTTCAGTGTAACATGTTGGATATATATCGTGCGAGTTTTTTTTGATGGGCATGACATAAGGCCGATAGACATTGGCAATGGTGGTAGCGTGATGTCTGATTTCGATATGGGTCATGGAGATCGTAGCAGCAATAGGCATGATGAGGCAATTGACTGCGACGATAGTGGCAAAAATGACGGTGTCGGGGAGGATGTCTGTGATCGGTCAGAAGGGTTGTCGAGCACAGCGGAATGAACGGGTCTGGAGCTACATTTGATGGTGTGAACGCCGATAGGCTTTCAATGGATCGGCTACCACATTCTCTTGTGTTCTGAACATTGCGTCTGCGACGACGTTGTCCTGTCCACTTACGTGTTGGAAATGAATAATGAATAGCAGTAGGAAGTTCAGTTGACGTTTCTGTCCCAAAAATCAGCGGTCAGTGATCCATTAGCACGCTAACCCGATGTTCTTTCAAAACGCTGATAATGCTGAATTTCCTTGAAGACCGTGCGGAATTCTTGATCGTAGGTATTGTACCGCACTTTTGTGGGCATCCGAAAAGAGCGTCCGAAAATAATCTGATGGATTGCTATTCACCGTTGACGTACTGCTGGAGAGCGGCTCCGATCGCCAAGTTCGATGCATCCGTAGTCGGCTGATGATGGTGTAGTCGATGCCAGAAATGTAGTTTCCACAACGGCAGTTAAACTACGATGAGTATTGTTGATGTTTCGTCTGCTTGGGTATTACACGACAACCGGCGGCAATTACTTTTGGAAAAATCTCCTAGAAGCACATTTAGTGAACCCTGAATGCGGGTGGCATGCGGCATATTTCTGTGGTAAAAGTTAACGACGCCCAGGAAGCACTGTGAGGCTTAAAGTGTCGTAGGTTTGACAAAATTCGTGGACGGTCGTGATTTTTTGTTCAGAAGGTGATGCTGAGGTGGCTAAGTTGACATTTAGCTAATTTGTATAATAATCTAACCTCCCGTAGATGGTTAAATACTCGTAGAAGATGAACGTTACTCGTTGTGCGAAATAAATCGGATAAAGAGATCGTCGAAATAGTTCTTCACGAGCAAGAGGTCCCGCAGCAGTGAGTTCATAAAATGCTGGAAAATCTAGAACGCATTTCGTAGCCCAAGCGATATTCAACGAAACTCATGCAGACCAAATGGAGTAATTACTACTGTCTTGGTGATGTCCTCGTTAGCCTTTGGGACTTAACCCATTAAAGACCAAGGCTAAAACTGTGTAAGATCGCATCAAACTAATTTTTAGAAACGGAGCATAATGGAAAAAAATACCCTTTTTTCCCTTTGATAATTGCAATTGTTTATAAAAAATTATTTAAACAAATTGCAAAAAAGTTGTCAGTTTAGAAAATTAAGTACACCAATCGATTCTACGAAAAAAATTATAACGAAAACCTGTATAACATTTTTCTGTTAGTCCACAATTTATTAATGTAAATCGGCAATAAACAAGTGTCGGCAAGACAAAGTGAAGTTTTTCACCTATCTTTTATTTCTAGATAATCTGATGTAGCATTGAATTTTTATTTGGTGGTGTTTGTGTTCTTTTTTGTATCTTTTATACAAAGTTATACTATATTTTTCCATATTTTTATAACAGAACATTGTAACGGTGCCGGTGGATTCGACCTGCACCGTGTGTTCCCCATCTCTCCCTACCATCGGCGTGGATTCATGGCAGACCTATAGCACATAATTCACGTGCCTGATGCCTGCCTGTATGTTTTCAGCATCGCCACCGCAACGAGCAAGAAGAAGAAGGATAGAGAGAGGCAGTGTCATTGGTCGACAAGAGCGCCTGTTACTATGCGCTCTTGTAGGAGAGAAAGAGAGAGAGTGAGAGAAAGAGAGAGATAAGAGAGAAAGAAAGAATACGATTAGTGCAGGCAGGCGCGTGACACTAGCCGCACTTGACGGTGCCGCGTGCCGCCGATTAGGCAAGAGAGTGGGGAGAGCGTGAGAAGCAGTCTCTCACGCACTCGGAAGCGTACTCGCGACGGGCAGTAGAAAGTGGCCATTAGCAGAGAGAGGTGTGCTGACCCCCTGCAGTCAACCGCAAAAGATAAGAGGGAACCGAGACGACATTAGTATCGGCTACGGATCCAGCCCATCTTTCGTCGAGTTCTCCCAACTACGGACAGATTTGCCTGCAATCGGACGCCATCACCATCTTCGGCGAGGCCCTGCATCGAAGATCGTCAATCGTCAGGTCAATTTCTAATCTCTCTCTCTATCTAATTCTCACTCTAAGGCTACTCACGGCTTGTGCGCTGCGCCAGGCTCTCACGGGTCGGCGCGGCTGGTTCGGTTATTAGCCTAGGTTGGATTATATCGAGTCGGTATCGAGATGGCAAGGCGCTAACGTGCCGGCCATCTCTTTTAGCGATCGTAGATTGTAGTGTAGATAATAAGACGCGCGTTTGAATGTCCGAACTGTATGCTCAGGGTAGCATGATGTAATAAAGGAATTTATTAAGATACGAGGAATGATTATTGCGCCCACCTTTCTCTTTACCTTGTCAGGAGCGATATACCGCCTTCCTTGCCCTCCCCCTTCTAAATAATTGGTAATAGCGATAGGTGATTCGGCGTTGCAAGCCGACTCTATTACAACATTTTCAACTAACCGTCAGATTCTAGTATTTGTTAGAACTGACCTGTGGAATCGAAGTTTTGTGAATTCAAAATGTTATTGCCGATTTACGCTAATAAATTGCGAACTGACAAAAAATTGTTACATAAGTTTTCGTTATAATTTTTCTCGTAGAATAGATTAGCACAATTACTTTTTCAAAACAATGACTTTTTTTTGCAATTGGTTTGAATAATTTTGTATAAACAATTACAAATGGTAAAAGATACAAATTAATTTTTTTTCCAATATGTTCCATTTCTAATAATTATTTTGATGCTGTCGAGCAGAAATTTTGCTGCCTAGCCTGCGATTATTTATTGCCGATTTACACTAACAAAT